CCGATGACTGCTTACTGTACAGAACCATATCAAAACAGAGAAAGACCACAAACTACAGCAAGAAGACCTAGCAAACCTAGAAGATTGGGCAAACAAATGGGGTATGCGATTTAACACAAAAAAGTGCTACATCCTAAGCATCGAAAACAAAAACCAGAGATTCTACACACTCAACGGCCACATACACCAACAAGTCCAGACCAACCCATACCTAGGAGTGCAGATATCAGAAGATCTGAAGTGGAGCACGCATATTACAAACGTTGCTAAAAGGCGAACGCAACCCTAGGCTTCCTCAGAAGGAACTTACGGTACTGTCCACAGGAATGTAAGAAAACTGCTTACATTTCTCTAGTTCGATCAACAAAGGAATATGCAGCAACAGTATGGAACCCCTACAGTATAGCAGATTAAAACAAGCTAGAAAGAATACAGAGGCAAGCAGCACGCTTTATAACAGGCGATTACAGAACAAGATAAGATGACTGCATAACAAACATGCTTACCAAATTAAATCTCCAAGAATTACAACTTAGACGCACAAGCCAAAAACTAATATTTTTGTACAAGGTGGTTGAGGGGCAGGGGCGGGTCCAGGTAAGGGCGTAATGGGCGTACGCCCCCCCCCCCTTTTCAAAAAAAAAAAAAAAATCGTTATCTGCTTATATTGTATTAAATATGGCAATTTATCATATTCATTAATTAAACACATACTCTGATTTCTTTTTATACTGATTCCCCCATCCGATGGGTGACTTGGACACATTTTTTTAAACAACCAAAGCGGTAAGTAAATCTATACATGAAATGGTTGTTTTGTGTGACACTTCCCCAACGGTCATATATATATGATACCGGGTATGTTCCGACAAACGGGGTTGCACTTTTAGATAAATTGTCTGAAATGGGGTTATGTTTTTTTCGCCTTGCATTGGAAGGGGTCAGATTTGACTATCTAGAACGGGGTATTATAAATACAATGTTACACTATTGTTTCAGATAAGGGTGAATGTTTAGTACCATTAAAACGTTTAAACCCGCTGCAACTGTTTTCACCTGTCCTAAGTCAGGAATCTGATGTTCAGTAGTTGTCGTTTGTTGATGTGGTTCAAAAGTGTTTCTCGTTTCTTATATAGATTAGACCGTTGGTTTTTCCCGTTTGAATGGTTTTACACTAGTAATTTTTGGGGCCCTTTTATAGCTTGCTGTTCGGTGTTAGCCAAGGCTCCGTGTTGAAGACCGTACTTTGACCTATAATGGTTTACTTTTATGAATTGTGACTTGGATGGAGAGTTGTCTCATTGGCACTCATACCACATCTTTTTATATCTACTAAATTGAAAACAACGTTCAAACCTATGATTGCGTTGGATAAAAACCGCAATTTTTATACGTGTGCATGCAAAACAAATTTATTGGTAAAGGGGTCTAAATACAGCACAAACAACATTTTCCAAAAGACTAAAACAGTGAAAAGGTATATTTTAACAAAACGGGTATGGCTATATATATATATCAAAAGTTCAGAAAAAGCTATCGTTAAAGATGTATTTTTTCATTTTTCATGCCCATTTCATATAAGCTTTTAACTGAATTTACAACTTCTTCCAAAGATTTGATATCCACATGTTAATCAATACATAATTTGAATGATCCGAAGGCAGACTATTTTCACCAATTTGTCTATCATGGAGTCTGTTATAATACTTCATAATATGATGCTGAATTGTTGAAATCCAGGAGATTCTGACCTTCCCCATGGACACTATACCAGGGCAACCGGAATTACGCCTCCCGTTCATAAAATCCTGGCCTAGGACCATTGAAATGTAAAGTAACGCCCTATACCCTAGAATTTGGAATTTCTCGTTATTGATCTACTGCTGTTAAGATCCATCCAATCATTTTAATATACCATAGACAATTAATGGAGAGAATTCGGCATAAAAAATATCAAACCCTGACACTTTAACTATATAATATACATGCTCCAAGTCAGGAACCGTTACATTAGTGCATTTCACAATTATTTTATGTTTTTTGGCCAAAAAAAGGTCCAAAATAATTTTAGCCTCGCTCCGCTCGGCGAAGGATTGTATTATACGCCCCCTCTTTCAAATATCCTGGAAACGCCCCTGAGGGGCTGGTTCCTGCTATTGATCCAGACTACTTCTTAAATTCAGCACGACCAAGACGAACTATCACAGCAAAAAAGTTTGATAATTATCAAGCAACAAACATAATTGAAAAACAAGTGAGAAACAATACTAGGTGTTTTGACATTCCCACCAGTAAAACACCGCAACTTTCAAACTCATTCTTTGTGTCCACAACAATGTAGCTGGAACCACCTAGAAGACACAATTGTGCGCCCAACATGTGTGGAGAGCTTTAAATCTGCTCTCGCGAAACGTCAATAAATCGACGGCGCCTTCACCCCCGTTGTATAAAAGCCAGTATTGGTAACTACGACGTACCCATACAGATACTGATAGAAACAATACTTTTGGAATAACATATAAAAATACAATGTTAATATTTCATACATGAATACATTGAAACATTACGCTTCGTGGAAATCGCCATCGGATCAAGATTTTACCTACCCACCGTTTATATTTTCCATTCATTTCTCCTCGGGATTCGGTTCCCTCCGCAAATTTCGGATCGGGATATCTGATGTGAGGAACGAACGTGATGGGATCGTGAAGGGGCGTGAACGATCATATTAACGATAGCAGAATTGGATTTTTTATGTGCTAAATTGCGAAGATAAAGACGTTGTACCCTTTAATTGCGTTCAAACATGGAAGCATTAACAATATAATACTTCCATGGATCAAATAATCAAACATTCTATTATGTGTAAAATCAAGGATTTGTATAGTTATTCGTAAAATGCTATTAGTTGCTTGTGTTACTAATGTTTTTCACAAAGGAAATTTACTTGTACTTGCCATGGGTACAACCATTGATTTTAGGATATGAATGATACATTCATTGTTGAAGACCCTACATCAACTGTCAAGATGAAGAACAGGAATAAAAGCCATGTTCATTGATAATTTTTTATGTTTTCTATGTATTGGGTGCGATTTAGTCCCATGTACATGTACATTTACTCCATATCATTTCAGTTTCTATTTTACTGTTGTTTATAATCATGAACTTATTTTTAACTTCCTGCCAGTCCTTCAATGAACTCAAACCTCTATAGTTCCAGTTACAACTCATGTATTTGCAGTTTGAACAGACGAGAATTCTTGAAAATCAATGAATTCATTTAATTTCTCATTTGTTGCGGACCTTACATTTGTACATGTATATTGATTCTGTTAAATTTATTTATAACTTAACTATGATAAAAAATCAACATACAGATATTGTATGGAGACTGACTATTCTTGAAGACTGTATGATTTCCTCTAACTGTCAACATGGTCAATGCTCTTGTGGTAGTTGGGTCAGTTTCATATACTAGAAGAAAGGACAAAGACAAGCTGCGAAAATAAATAATTGTTTTGACCTTCTCTTTGGGGTTATCTTAAACAGCTATTACAAGTATCATAAAGATGTGTTGGGCTACTCAAATTACGATCACAAGAAAAAAAACAACATAATTACGATAATTTTCGGCAACTGCCAAATGTAAACGACTATCAAAGTTTATTTTCCAGCTTGATAGAGGTCCTCAATATGACATACTCAGAAGGAATCGTGATATCTTTGCGAATTAAAACAAAATATTGATCAAAGATGCTAAAACAAACTAAACATAACAACAAACAAGTCAGAAATGATTATCTTGCATTGCAATACACGCTGTTCGACCGGATATTTACTAACAGGCGCGTATAAATTTATAGTGGCGAGTACGCAACATCTCACGATACGCGAGAAGTGTCGATATACCGCGAGATTCCAATCCTTCTCACTATACAAATCCTTGGTAAAATCAAAAATAATATGTAATTATAAGATATAGGCCGTGAAGATGTGGTATGAGTCCCAATGAGACAACTCTCCATCCAAGTTACAATTTATAAAAGTAAACCATTATAGGTCAAGGTACGGCCTTCAACACGGAGCATTGGCTCACACCGAACAGCAAGCTATAAAGGGCCCAAAAAAATTACTAGTGTAATATACTTTTTGACGACGTTTCCAGTCAAATCAGAGACATATATACACATATGTCTCTGGTCAAATATATCGTCTATCCTGTTAATGCAGACATAGTAACAGGACAGACACATTTCTAATGCTGTTGTGAAATAACTACTCCCTTTTATGCAGTGATAATGTTTTCTTCTTTGATTTGGTTTCCAACACGTGTATAACTGTGACAATTTACAAGTATAATATTGTTGTTATTGGTAAATTTGTTGGTATCAGCATAGACAGGATAAAAGGGTACGCACAAAAAAAAAAGTTTAATAAAATGATAAAAAAAAAACGTAATTTGTCGTGTTAGAGTTATCATAAACATTATAAAATGCTTCATTTTGAAGATTTCAAGGCAATCATAAAACTGGGGAAAAATTCAATTGAAATAGGTTACCATGACCCTGTACGCACACAAATTAAGCAAACGTCTGACTTAAATATATTTTAATCTTATCAAGAATGGAGCTAAATCGTGTTTATTATTGATGTTTAGACTCATATATCCTACAAACTTCCATTTAAATAATATTGTGTTTGTGACTTTTTAAATATATTGCTTTGTGACTAACTACGATATTGTCACAGTTTGTGGCTTTTAAATATATATTGTGTTTCTGAATATCAACATTATACCTATAGTGCTTCATATTACTTGTTTGTTTTACATACTGCTTTATTTATTTCCTCATGCAATAATTTTTTAGCAATCTTATATACGTTGAATAAAGAAAAACGTTGCAACATCAACGCTATGCTGTGTAATTGGGTACGTTATTGTGTGGTGTCATGTTAACTATTTAAATGGAACATAGATTTATCATGTTAAAAGAGAATCGAAGAGAAATGGCTGCGCCTAGGAAATTCAACGTGTTTGTTGGATCGGAGACAGGTCTGCTCAAAGGTGTGAATACTTTGACAAATAAATGGGACAACATAAATCAGATAACTAATGCAGATAAAGAGAATGAAATACGTGACATTTGTACCAGTTCAAATTTCACCGACGAACTTTACTTTGGGACAAAATCTTACAAAGTCTTCGGCTATGATTTTAGGGAAGATTGTATAAAACGTGTATTTCAGTTAGAAAACAAAAAAGCCAATTGTAAGGCGTTAAAGACGTGCGGAGAAAATATTATTACCGCTGGAGAGGACGGAATAGTGAAAGTATGGAATCATAATCACGAACTTGTGAAAGAGTTTTCATCAGGGGTTACATTGAACAGTAATTTGTGTTTTATGATTCAGAGTCAAGATACACCAGAGATTATTACAACGGGTGGTAAAGAAACAGACCTAAAAGTATGGAATATAAACAACACAGAGAAGGCTTTATTTGAAGCAAAGAATGTGAAAAATGATTGGCTCAATTTAAGAGTGCCAATATGGGTCCTTGATGCTGAATTCATTCCATCTACGGACAAAATTGTAACATCAACAGGATATAATCAAGTCCGAATATATGATCCTAAAGTTCAGAGACGTCCAGTTTTAGATATGACATTTGATGAATATCCAATTACTGCTCTATCCCTGTGCCCATTGGCCAATAACCAGGCCGTCATAGGCAATTCAAGAGGAAAGATGGCAACAATAGATTTTAGAAAAGGAAGTGTTGTTAACATTTTTAAAGGACTTGCAGGTAGCATAAGAGACTTAAAGTGTTATAAAACAGAACCATGTGTTGTGTCATGTGGACTTGATCGGTTTATTAGAATACACGACTATAAAACCAAAGAACTAAAACATAAATTTTATTTGAAGTCACGATTAAATTGTTTGCATTTAAATGAAAATTTTAGTGAGGAAATCTCATCTGAATACATAGAAGAAACAGTACATGAACTTCCAAGTAACAACTGTAAAGACAATGATGAAGAGGAAATATGGAATCAATTAGAGGTTATTAAATCAAAAAGGAAAGGAGATATTTTAGAATCAGGAACTGCTTCAGAAATTAAAAAGAAAAGACAAAAAAATAAAAAGTGAAATGATACATGTATATTGTACAAAATAAAACATTCATTTTTGAAATACGATTAATTATTACAACATTATGATAGTTTGTTCATGTTGTTGAGCCCTTTAGTTTTATGAATTTATAACACTACTAAAATTCTGGGGACATTATTAACTTGAAAACATTTTTTTTCATACACAATGCTATAATCAACTGGTTAGAAATAAGAAGTTTAGATTAGTAAAAACTTGTCAAATAGGCAGTAATTTCCAGATATGTAGAAATTCCCAGATAGTGATAATGCATCTTCGCTAGTCAAGGGTTATGATCCACTTCCCTCCTCCCTTGTTGCACAATAAGCACGTGGCAATTGTTTACATACACTTTCTACATTTACACGTGATCATGTTATAGGCGCTTTTTGATTGGATTCAGTGAGTTTCGACTGCAACCAATGAAAATCATTACCTTGTGTCTCCGAAATTCTATCTCAATCCGCCAAGGGTGGAGAGGAGGGAAGTGGATTGTAACCCTTGGCTAGCGAAGATGGTGATAATGATACACATTTGGTTAGACAGCTTGCTTTTATGAATAACTGATCCAAAGTGTTATCAGTGCCAGACTGATTATTCATGTACATTTTCATAAGATAAATGAACACCTGTCTGCCCAAATTTTTGTCAGAGGCCAAAAAAATATTAATACATGTACATAACCTTTGTTTCTGCTAACAAGCTAAAAAAAAGGAGGGGATTGGTGAGTACATCCTGTAAGCTAATAATTTTAATTCTTCAAAACGTTTTTTAATTGTTTTCATTAAAGAAAACCGTCTGACATTAGACAAGTGCTTGTTCAAAAATGACAAAAAAATCTAAGAGTTAGCTCTAAAAATGTTGGTCGATTGGGTTAACGGAAACAAATTTTGTAAGAGACTATAGGTTTGCATTACGTTCGTATGTATGGCAAATCATTTTTCCACACTTTTTTTTGTGCTTGAAGATATTGATTTGATATTTGGTATATAAATTTATCGTATCCCGTTACAGATCAAGTTTGAATTTTGGTCAGTTCGGATGATTTTTTTGGCAGAGTTGTGGTCCTCTGACAGAAAATTCATTCAAATAATCTGTTTTCCACACTTTTTTTCATGCTTTAAGATACTGATTTGATATTTGGTATATAGTTTTACCATTACAAATTACCGATTGGGTTAGATTTTGTTCCAGAACAATGAATTTTTAACCGGTTTGGGACTATGTACATTGTATTGCCATGCAATACTCTCAGAATGCTTGTTTTGCAAATGTAACATGGCCTAAGGGAGCTTCCATTTGATTTTTATGGGGGGGTCTAGGATGAAATTTGAAAAAAGGCAGGACAGGAGTTTTGAGTAAAATAAAAGACAGGATGAGCAACTTGGCAAAAAAAAAAGGTAGGGTGACAATTTATGTAAAAAAAGTCAGGATAAACTAATTATAAAAAAGGCAGGACCGAATAGAGTGAAAAATAAAAAGGCAGGACAGAGATTCCAACTAAAAAAAAAATGCAGGACAAAATTTTTCATCCTAGCCCCCATAAAAATCAAATGGTAGCTCCCTAACATGTCAGTACTAAACTATCCCTCAAATGATTGACACTTTTAAGCATTTTTTCGAATCAGAACTTTATACTTAAAGTGTACATATTTGTTACTGTAAATAGTGCTGTGACGAAATAGGAAAAAGTCAAATATTAAAAGAGTTTAATTTCACTTCATAATACATGGCTAAAAATTTGCACAGTCCTAGAAAAATGATTTTACTTGAATTTAAGATTGGTCGTCAAAAAGTCGTATGGTGCAGTTTTTATACAGCCGCAAAAAAAATTTTGTGGTCGTATATTGGTATGACGTCGTCGTCGTCCAAAGACACATTGGTTTTCGCACTCTAACTTTAGTTAAAGTAGATGGATCTCTATGAAATTTTACCATAAGGTTCAATACCACAAAAGGAAGGTTGGGATTGATTTTTGGGGTTATGGTACCAACAGTTAAGGAATTAGGGGCCAAAAGGGGCCAAAAATAAGCATTTTTATTGTAACTTCCAGACATAACTTGTGTGTTAGTGTATGGATCTCTCTGACATTGTACCACCACAAGGTCCCATATCACAAAGGGAATGCTGGGATTGATTTTGGGGGTAATTGCCTCAAAATTGTAGGAATTAGGGGCCAAAAAGGGGAAACACAAGCATTTTTCTAGTTTCCGGACAATAACTTGTGTTTAAGTGTTTGGATCTTTATGAAATTGTACTACAAGGTTCCATATCACAAAGGGAAAGCTGGGTTTGAGTTTGGGGGTAATTGCCCTAAACGTTTAGGAATTTGGGGCCAAAAAGGGGAAAAAAAACAAGCATTTTTCTAGTTTCCAGACAATAACTTGTGTTCAAGTGTATGGATCTCTCTGAAATTGTACTGCAAGGCACCATACCACAAAGGGAAGGCTGGGATTGAGGTTGGGGGTGATGAATCATAAGGGGGTTCAAAAAAATTGGGGGGGGGGGATTTTTTTTCCTTTTTTTTCTTTCAAATTTTCCATTTTAAATTGGTTATTTCTGATTTATATATAAAATCAAATAATAATGATATGGTTTCAATAGGTAAATTAGAATTTTTTAAGTTCTTGGACCACATTCATTCTGTGTCAGAAACATATGCTGTGTTAACGCGAATAATTACAGCGCCCCCTTACGGTCATTGTCCTCCAGAGGTAATGTAGTGATCGGTAGGGAGCGTAATATAACGACTGGATTATTCGGGTTAATGCTGTGTCAAATATTTAATCACAATCCATATTCTGTGCTGTATCAAGCTTGAATGTTGTGTCCATACTTGCCCCAACTGTTCAGTGTTCGACGTCTGCGGTCGTATCAAGCTGCGCCCAGCGGAGCATTTTATTATGAGTTAAAATAATTCAAAACGATATTTTTTAAACTTTCAAAAATCTCTACTATTCAATCATTAACTTTAAAAAAATCCGGAAAGTTGTTTCTCGTCCCTGATTCGGCTGCATACATAGTTTTCCTCAAGTATTAAGGACTTGATATTACTTGTTTTTGTTATGTTTTATTGTTTTGTTGATTTATTTGGATGTCCGTAATTGTTTTTTGAGGTTGTGTTGATATAGTTTTATTGATATTAGAGGCAAAATAAGTTTACAGTTGTTTATTTTAGAAATGGGGATCAGACAAAATCCCAAAAAGATGATAAAAGTCCGTTAAAACTTGGCTTTAACATTTCAATGAAGCGAAACATTTAGTGTTATTTTCTTACAAGCAGAAGTGGGATAATTGTTTTATGACCACTTACAGTCAACCGTGGGGGGGGCAGGAGGATTTTGAAAATAAATAACTCAGCCTTGATAATAACAAAAATGAATGGTTTGTTCTGTGGTAGTTTGAAAATAAATAACCTGACTTACAATGTATTGAGAATAACTTGGCAGGTCTTTTAAGCCATTTTATAAATGTATTCTGAAGTATGAGATTGCACCATATTCTTCCAAAATTCGTCTTTTTTCATATTTTTTTCGGGAAAAACTTCCCAAATCTTTTAATAATATAACTATTAATGTATTTGCAATGTTTGAAAATGGGTTTCATATCACTTGAGGTATATTGTCTCGTGAGCATTTACCTCACTTTTATTACAGGGCCGTAACTACATTGAGGCAAATGCCTCATGTTCGAAATTTCAAAACAAAAGCGTGTCTTCATATCAAATTGTTTTCACGGCAAGTGTCTTGCAAGAAGCAAGTTCTGTTCACCCTCTGATGTAGCCCCTGTTTTTTGAGATCCATGTTTCTCATTTATTTTTATTTTTCAGTGTTGATTGTCTTTAATGTTTGTCGTTTTGTGTTTTATCTGTTCCCGGGTTTGTCTTTTGTTCATAGATTGCCCTTCTTTATGACTATTCTCTTAGTGTTGTATTCTATTTGTAATTTAGTAATTATGTTTTAAACTTGAGTTTTATTATATTTAATGACCTTTTGTCTATTACAAACTACTTTAAATTGTATCCCAGTTAGGAACTACATCAAGTTGTAATTGAAATGTGTTATAAAAACTGACTTGACATAGTTATATCAATGATAGTTAGCCCCCTCTTAACTTAATTTGAGAAAAACATAACTGTTCGGTGTGTGCCAAGGCTCCGTGTTGAAAACCGTACTTTGACCTATAATGGTTTACTTTTATAAATTTTTACTTGGATGGAGAGTTGTCTCATTGGCACACATACTACATCTTCTTATATCTATAATTGACAGGCATAACAGGTTTTTCTGCAAACTGAAACATTTTTTGCTTTGTCCTACATATTGGTCTTTTGATGTTGTCCCTAAAAACTAAAAGTCTTACACTGAACCTATATATTTTGCTTTGAGACCAGAATATTGTCAAAAAATTAAATCAGAACTTACGTTTCAGATTAAGAAAGGGTCTGGGAAACGCGCATAATGCATGATTTTGTGCCATTTTTTCTATAGCTTCTTGGGGCTTTCAGCGAACCCCAGACTCTTCGCTGATTTTTTTTTTTGTTTGACAACTTTTAAAAGAGGCTAGTTACAGGCCAGCTTTAATACCTTGTCGGTATGCAATATATTCAGTTTGCAATTCAGAAGATTAACACCCAGAGGATGATGATTAATTCTGATTGACTTAATTGACTATGTTATTTATTTAAGAATTTAAAAATTGTATGTTTTCAAATATTATAAATATAATTGTGAAAATAGATAATCAGTCCCTTGTTTTAATGAAAATGAAAAATCATGCTTCAACAGTGCAGAAAAAAAATAATCTGTCCTTTTGGTCCCCAAAAATAAATAACCCATCCAAAACAAATCCTCCCCCCCCCCCCCCCCCCCCCCCCCCCCCCGAGAATATCAAATGGTCGTCCCCTTAGTTCATTCTATTCGTTTGGAAATTGTTTATTATAAAAGTGGACACGAATGATGCATAAGTCAACATAACATAAGTCAACATAACATAACGATGTTCGCAGTCCACACTGCAATTGTAAATGCAGAACCTTTTCA